ACCCCAACTAGGCTACAGACCTCAGAGATATTCTAGGCTCCTCCCTCTTCCTAAACCCCCAATTCTGGTTACCACCAAGTTTAGCTGATTTCATTTCCTCCCGAATTCCTACTGGCAAACATTCTGATTCAAACCAAATTCCCGACTGGTCTTCTCCTAATGCGAACTTTCCATGTTCTGGCCCTCATGTCTGTTCTTACCGGGTGTCAAAGCAGGACACCCTATGTCAAACAGGACCATGGTCCTGCCATTGACTCCAAGTTCCCTCTCCAGAGGCTCCTCCCCCACGGGGCAGGTCCTTGTCCCACAGTAGGGCCCACATCCAGCTCTCACCACATCCTGCCTCATCATTTTACTCCAGTGAAGCTAAATTGTTTGTGGATCTTTGTACCCACTGGATGTCTGTGCTTGTGCTGCCTGTTTTTCACTCTCAGCACCCCAGTTTGGTCTAATTCTCACTCTGGAACTCCCTGCAGGGCTGGTATCTCCTGAAATCTCCTCAACAAAGAATTATCTCACTGGAGAAGGTGCCAGGCCCTGGTCTCCCATCACACACACCGCAACTCCCTCTGGTGTGAGAGCAAAGTAGTTGAAAAGTATTTGAGCCATCCTTTCCCCCACGTGATAGCCAGGCTCTTTTCCTTCCTAGCCTGCTTTTGCACTAAGGCAAGTGATTAAGCTTTTTTGTCTGATGTTTTCTCTTACTTGTAGAAAAGAAGAATGATATATCTTCATGGAGTTGTAAGAGTAAATGAACTAACCTATATATAAGAACTTAAAATAGGGTCTTGGAAGGTGTCAAGAAACCATAAGAATAGTTTTGTACAGATCTTTATAATTGTACTTTATCATTGTGCTGTCACACTTTAAAAATATATTTCTTCTTCCACTCGACAGAGTCAGCAAACTGTCCTTTGTAAAAGATCCTTTGTAGTATCTATTTTAGGTTTTGTGGGCAATGCTGTCACAACTACTCAACTCTGCTGTTGTAGCTTGAGAGCAGTTATAGGTCATGTGTCAATAAAGGAGTATGGCTGTGTTCAATAAAATTTTATATACAAAAGCAAGCAGCAAATTGGATTTGGACTGTTGGCTATAATTTGCTGATCCATGTATTTGACCATATGCTCCTTGAGAGCACAACCTGTCTTTCAGCAGAAGCACGACAGTATGGATCACTTGACTCAACATCTAGTCTAAACCACATTTTATGGGTTTTCTCCATCATACACACTGCTAACACAGCTCCTCTTTCGAGCTTACCCTGGCGGCCCAGCGGAGGTCTGCCCATGATCTCATCATCTGAGGCATTCAGGTTCTGAATCAGAAAGTATGTGGTCATTTTTCCTTTACCTTTCACTTCAATTTCACC